GTGGGGTACCTCTTCTAATTTTCTAAGACTAGTCAATAGGAAAGTCCTATGGCTAGACCTAGGCTACTAAAGAAGTTTTCTAGACCTCAACCAAAAGTGAGGTCAACACTATGATAACACCATAATAACAACACTTCAATACCACAAATCATCATAGTACAACCAAATTATCATCTTAATAACACCAGAATACAACGTAGATATCACCATAATAACGCTGAATCAACAATATTAAAACAAAAAAAATAAGTCCATAATAACACCAAAATATTTCCTTAAGGTTACAACATAAATACCATAATAACACCAAATCAACGACATATACCAAAATATGTCCATAAGAACACCAAAATATCACGGATACAACATAGACATCATCATAATTACACCGAATCAACAACCTAATAACACCAAAATATGTCCATAATAACACCAAAATATGTGAAGACAAATTAGAACCCAAATAACACAAAAATATATCCAGAATATAACTTAGATATCACCATAATAACATTGGATCAACTATAGAATAACATTAAAATGTCCATAATAACACAAAAATATGATGATACAACATGGATATCATGATAACACAATAATAGTAAAGGCATACTAACACCAAAATAATCCATAATAACACCAAAATATGTCCTGAATACAATGTAGATATCATCATAATAAAATCGAATCAACATCCTAATAACACCAAAATATGTCCATACTAACCAAAACATGTGAAGTCAAATAGAATCTAAATAACACCAAAATATATCTAGAATACAATTTAGATATCACTATAATAACACCAATTTAACAACACAATAACAGTAAAATATGTCCATGATAATACCAAAGTATGTTCTTAAGGATACAACATAGATATCATAATAACACTAAATCAGCAACAGACCAACGCCAAAATATGTCTAGAATACAACGTAGATATCATTATAATAACACTGAATCGATGACCTAATAACACTAAAATATTTCCAGGATACAACATAAATATCATCATAATAACATTGAATAAACAATAAAATAACACCAAAATGTCCATAATAACGCCAAAACCCGCTTCGGAAGGACTTTTGAATTTACGTATATATATATATATATATATATCATAATAAGACGAAATCAATGACAAACTAACACCAAACTATGTCCATAATAATACCAAAATATGTTTAGGATACAATGTATATATCATCATAATAACATCAAAATATGTCATAATAAAACCAAAATATATTCAGGATAAAATATAAATATCACCATAATAACATCAAATCAACAGCATAATAACACCAAAATAACTTTATAAAAACAAAAAAAATGTGTCCAGACAAATTAGCACCCCAACAACCTCAAAATATGTCTAGGATACAACGTATATATGTCCATAATAACACCAAATTAACAACAAAATATGTCTGAAAAAATTAGTTATTACACCAAAACATGTCTAGGACACAACATACATATCACCATAATAACACCGAATCAATAACAAAATAAAGCAATGTTACCACCAAATGATTATTATATTCAAATTAAATGAAAGAACACCTAATCAACAACAAAATTCCACCAAGTTACATTTATAATAACACAATTGCCACAAGATCACCAAAGTTGAACTAAATTATCATCGTAATAAAGCCTCAACTAGATTGCAACTGAGATGCCCCATAATAACACCAAATTAACACCTATACATAGTCAAATTACCATAAAAAACATATATGAAAACACCAATTCAACATCAAAATTGCACCATATTACCACCATATTAACAAAAAATCAACACCAAAATAACATAATATAAACCCTAATAAATATGCATAATAACATCCACTATACACCATTAAATAATCAAAATATCACAAGAATACCCAATTAAACATCAAATTAATAACACAATAACACCATATTAACATTCCAATAACACAAACTTAGCGCATAAAACTAAAAAAATTTCCTCCAGAATGTCACAACATTACCCCAATAAAACCATTTCACTTTTGAATAACACCAAATGTGGTGTTTTTGTTGTGTTATTAGTGTGGTTGTGATGATGGGTTAATAATGTGGTTATATAATGATGTTATTAATGCAATATTATAGAATTATTGTGATATAAATATAATTGTATTGTGGTGTTATTAATGTAATAATATGATGTTATTGTCATACAAATGTGGTTGTATTGTGGTGTTATTAGTGTGGTCATATTATGACGTTAATAGTGTGATTGTATGATGTTGTTATTAGTGTAGTATTATGATGTTATTGTGATACAAATGTGGTGTTATTGGTCTGGTTGTAATGTGGTATTAATAATGTGGTTGTATAGTGGTGTTATTAGTGCAACATTATGGTGTTATTGTGATGTAAATGTGGTTATATTGTGAAGTTATTAGTGTTATTGTTATATAAATATGGTTGTATAGAGGTGTTATTAGTGCAGTGTTATAGTTTTATTGTGCCATAAATGTGGTTGTACTATGGTGTCAATAGTGTGGATGTATGATGGTGTTGTTAGTGTGGCGTTATGATGTTATTGTGGTGTTGTTAGTGTTTTGGTATGATGTTATTGTCATACAAATGTGGTTCTATAGTGGCGTTCTTAATGCATTATTATAGTGTTATTCTAATACAAAAGTGACTCTATTGTAGTGTTATTAATGTAATAATACAGTATTATTGTCATATAAATGTGGTTGTATGGTGAAGTTATTAGTGTGGTCGTATTGTGGTGTTAATAGTGTGGTTGTATGGTGGTGTTATTAGTATAGTATTATAGTGTTATTGTTATACTCAATCATGTATAGTGGTGTTATTGGCTTGGTCGTATTGTGACGTTATTATTGCAGTATTATGGTGTTATTGTGATACAACTGTGGTTATATTGTGGTGTTATTAACATGTTATTATGGTAGTATTATGACAGTTTAATAGTACCACTCTACTGCACTCGTGATAAATCCTAAAATCATTATATTGTGGTGATAAGATGAAATACTTTCTCTTCTAATACCAAATCACTATTCCATATGGTTAATTTAGCTATCAAGCTTGTCATTTAACAAAGCAAGTAAAATTTATATGAAATAATGCTTATCTTGGTTACATAAATTTATGAATGCAAGTACAACCACACAGCCAAAATTTTACCTGGATGCTTTTTGTCTACTCCCACACTTTCTGTTATTCCTGATTTTTTTCATTCTTCTATATTAACTTGTTTGAAAACATAAAAAAAAAATACATGAGTTCTGACCCCAAAAACTAAATTTTTAGGTAACACTTATTTTAAAAAACCTAAATATCACAAAAGTTATCACCAATGGTGAGAGAGAGAGACTGCGAATGCTTCTCGTCCGACGACAGATAATGCGAGGGATTTCAAACGAACCAAATCCTAGCTACCAAAATCATGGGTAAAAATCACTTTATGAAACACTACCTAATGATGATGGAAGAAATTAGAGATTCAAGATACTTGAAAAATTCGGGCCGGGTCACATCACAACATATACATATACACGTTTTGGAAATTCGAACTCGTGTTGCAACATTTACTCCCATCCTACACTCAATGCAACTCTCTTTTCGTTTCATCGACAATCAGTAAAAATGCTTGAAAAGGTATGGCGATGAACGGAAGCTGATAGAAGTAGAGGGAGAGTTTCGAGCTAAGGGCAAAAATGGCTTTTCGGTTGTGCCATCGCCCTCTTCGGCTCTCCTTCGGCTCTCACAACGGCAGGGGGAAGACGCAAACTCTCCGTCACTTTCGATGCTCATCCGTCAACCAGACAACCGAACCCCTCGACGCTCGCAAGGCAATTTCCTCAACTTAATCTGATTTAGCTTCGCATTAGCAGAGTGCAGTCAAAACTATTCCATCTCCTAGTTCTGGATTGGCGATTTCTAGATAATAGGTTTTGTTTGTGAATTTGATTGTTTGCTGGATGGATGGTTTAATGTATGCTGCATGCTGGATTAATATTCATGGCGATAGAGGGATGTATCGTCTTGAGTGAAATTCTTTGGCACATACGGTTAACAATAGCTCACATGAGAGGTGTGTTTTTTCATGGTAAATTGGAGAAACGGAAAGACCAAGGGCCGGAAGTAATTGAAATGATTTAGCTGCGGGTCTTCTGTACGAAGTATGTCCTTTTCTTAGCTACAGTGAGCATTAGTGCATTTTATTAGACATGAATTATGGAAATGGTTCTACTAGGCCTGCATGTTAGGTGTTGTTAGCATAGTATGTCAAGGGACGATCAATGTTTTGTTGAATTGTTCCTCTCATAAGATGGGAGATTAACAAACAAGATGTCTAATGTCGAATGTTAGTACTTGGTATACTAGGAGGCGAAGATCAGTGGAAATATTAGGGTTGGGTAATGTTGAGCGGCCTCTCTCCATCCTTCATATAGGAGGGGATACCGAATGATTTGGATGGCTAGCTGCAAACATCCGACATTGGCCAACTTTACCCGACTTTGGAGATGGCGGCATTGAGTGTTGGGCGCTGATAATCAGAGCTTTAGAATTCTCCGAGTTTGGCAATTTTATCAACCAAAGTTTTCTCTGAGTTCTCTCTTGATTATACGGAAATATGATCTATGTATACATTTCTGGATTGGTATGATTTTCATTTGAACCAAATAATAAGGCACTTATCTGACAGTCTGATTTGATTTTTTGATCATTCAATATTTTTTAGGCAATTTAGCATTTTAGTGATATCAAAATTAAGATGCCTTCTGTTTGTTTGTGTTGTCAAGATGCACATTTCTAATATAAGCATCCAAAATTCAAAGCTCCTGTATTTCTCAATTGACTTGTAAAGTTTTTAAGTAAACACCTCATGTTTGCTTCATGTCCATTTGGAATCGGATTAAGGTGTTCTTGATAGTGCTGTTTCATTTCATCAAGATGTTGATTTTGAATATAAGTAAGTTGAAATTGTTATTTCAGTTAATTTTAAAGTAAATTATTGAAGTTGATGATTTGAATATTTGGGCACTTTGAAATATGAAAGTTTCCGTAAATATTCATGTTTAATTGAATAAACTTTTTTTGTTACACATTAATGTTTATCTAATTCTTTTTACTATTCTGTATGATTTTGTTATTTGAATTGTGTTCCATTTGGCACTGTTTGCAGTCAAGCTTTGAGATCGTGACCTCAATTTGTAACTCACACCCAATCTTTTGTCTTTTTTTTCTTCTTAATGTTATTGGAGTTATGAATTATACTCGAAGAATAAGCTAGAACATAACATCATTTACTTATTTTGATTTTATAGGATGTAGGTGGGAGGTACGATGAAAAATGATATAACAAATGGAATTGACAGTGGAACGGGGAGGACGAGAAATCCTGTGCCAGATGCATCAAAACCTAGGAAAATTCACAGATATCTCGATTGTGCATTGTCTTTCCGTATTACAGAAATATTACACTGTCAGAAAAATGAGGAATATACTTGGCCCTATGATTGTAGTTGGTTTATTCTTGGATATTGAGGCAGTGAAGAAGGTGGTAACAATTTGTTCTAGCACTACCTTAGAGAATTTAGAATACGCAAGGCTGATATTGAGACAGGTTCCTAATCTCGATACTTTCACATATAATTCTGTAATTAGAGGATGCTTGCAAAGTAAAATCCCATCTAGAGCCTTAAGTTTGTACTATTGGATGCTATTGAATGGTGTCTTCCCAGACAAGTTTACATTTCCTTTTGTTCTTAAGGCTTGTGCTGGCACCAATGCCATCGCAGATGGAGAAAAGGTTCATTGCAGAATTTTCAAGAGTCCACTAAGCTTGGACCTATTTGTGCAAGCCTCCATTCTTGCTATGTATTCCAAGTGTGGTGAGGTAGAAATGGCACGCCTTACTTTTGATTTCATGCCCCATAAAAGTTTGGTGAGCTGGAATACTATGATTGATGCCTATGTTAAACATGGATATATGGATTCCGCTCTTGAACTATTTAATCTAATGCCAGAACGTGATGTTTTCTCTTGGAATGTTATGATTGATGGGCATGCAAAGCACGGGCAGATAGAAATTGCTAGGTACTTTTTCAATGCGATGTTTGAGAGAGATGGTGTTACTTGGAATATTATGATTGATGGTTATGCCAAATGTGGAAATGTGAAATTTGCTAGAGAGTTTTTTGATATAGCACCATTCAAGGACATAGTTACTTGGGGTATCATGATAAACGGATATGTGATGAGTGATCATATTGGTGTGGCTCATAGTTTGTTTGAAAAAACACCCTATAAAAGTCTAGTTACGTGGAATAGTTTGATCTGTGGTTATGCCAAGTGCGGTGATATGATAGCAGCACAAAAAATGTTTGAATTGATGCCATTCCGGAATCAAAAATCATGGAATATTATGCTTGATGCTTATGTCAAGTGTGGAAAGATAAAACATGCAAATCAAACATTTTGTGCAATGCCCAATAAGGATGTTGTATCGTGGAATATTTTAATCGACGGACATTCTAAACTCGGAGATATGGAAATAGCAAGAGAGCTTTTTGATACTATGCCATATAAGGATGTTGTCTCATGGAATGCAATTCTTGGTGGATACAAACAAAATGGGCATCCGAAGAAGATGTTTGAACTTTTTGTTAAGATGCAAGTTCTGAAAGAAACACCTGATTGTTCTACTTTAGCCATTCTTCTTTCTGGTATTGCTGATTTGGGCCTTTTTTTTCATGGTAGACAGGTCCATGCTTATGTATGTAGGAAATACTATTCATTAGATAGTACTATTGGAGTTGCGCTTATAGACATGTACTCCAAATGTGGATTTGCTGGAAACTCTATGAGGGTTTTTGATATGATAACCTCAAAAAATTTGGATCACTGGAATGCTCTGCTCTCCGGACTTGCTTCGCTCGGCTGCTGTAACTTGGTTGTTACTATGTTTGCACATATGTGTCTTTCGATTGTTAGACCGGATGATGTTACATTTGTATCCATTTTAAAAGCCTGTAGCCATTCAGGCCTGGTATCAGATGGCTTTGAATATTTTATAATGATGAGGGAAAGTTATGGAATAACTCCAAACGTCCATCATTACGGATGCATGGTTGATCTTCTGAGTCGTTCGGGGCGTTTAGAGGAGGCTGTTGAGTTAGTAAGAAACATGCCGGTGAAGGCCAATGATGTTGTTTGGAGGGCCCTTCTCGGTGCTTCGAGGACCCATGGAAACATTGAGGTGGCTAAACTTGCGGCGAGGCACCTCATTGAGCTTGTACCGAACGATAGCAGCGCTTATGTACTCTTAGCTAACATATATGGAGATAAAGGTCGATTTGGAAGTGTGCAAAACGTGTGGAGGATCATGAAAGAGAATGAGGTTTTAAAGAACACGGCTTGTAGTTACATTGAATTGCAATGCGAGCTTCATCAGTTTACTGCAGGAGATGCTTCACATCCTCATGTCCTGGAGACTCTTCTTGTACTGAATGGAATGATTGAAGGGCTATCACTCTATTGGTTGGAAATAAACTATGAATTGATGGAATGTAATTAGAAGGGTGATTTTTCTCCCTTGAAAAGCTTTTTTGTGGTTTGTAGCCGTACAAGGGAATTTCCTGGTTAAGGCTTGATTTTTGTGCAGTAAACAGTGAATTATGTTTATTATTATTTTTTGCCATTCAGCTTATCATGCCCACGTTAATGCATCTTTGGAGATCATAATTATTGGGGAAGGGAAATTGTGACCATAATAGTTTAAAATTGAAATTAATTTTGCTATTTTCTATGTAACTTGCCCTTAACGCATTACTTTCTTAAGGAAATTTAGTTCAATATTTGAAGTAGACAGGGCAAAGTCTGATCTTGCATAGTTTAGTGAAATGAACACTAGATTAGAATAGATCTGAAAATGATGTAAAATCATGATTGACCTGTTTGTTATGTTACTTCTTTCATGCATATATGTGATATGATATGCTTAGGCATCAAGCTAAGACTTGAATTCATTTCGCACTATTAGTATCACAAAAATATTTAATCATATTCTTACTTTGTTAGCACCCACAAGGAATTATTATATGCATCATGTCACTAATTATGATATAATTTGTTAACTTTAATTTTAGCCAATGAGAAAGTTTCACAAAGCTTTTCATAAAAATTGAACATATGTGAGTGGAGTTAAATAAATCGTTCAAGAACACTATAAACTTTTGATTTGTTTTATATAAAGCCACAAATATATCTTTTAGTGGTTTTTTTTAGTCTTGATTGCCATTTTTTGTTGTGTTGTTTTGTGTGTATTTTTTCATTGTTTGTGGCAAGTGAGCACTGAGCTCTATCTTATCCGGCCCTAAAATTTTTAGAATTCATAACTTAATACCACTAAACTCTAATTAATGTTGCATTTGAAATTGTCTTTACTAAAATAATACTTTTATATTAATTTTGGTGCATTGGGATTTGCAAAATTGCTTTTTTGTTCTTTTCATGATGTGAAAACTATATTTCAATTGTTATAGATAATTACAATTGTCGCGAAGATGAATATGTGGGAAAAAGTAAGATAAATTAAAAAATGCATGTTAAAGGAATGATTGGAGTGACATTTATTGAACTTAAGGTAAACAGAAGTACATTTAGGCTTTTGAAACATTGACAATGAAAGGTTGTAAATATAGGAATTAAAGAAGTAAATAAATTATTGTTAGAAGATTATGATTGAGAAGATAGAGATCTACAATAATGGTGATAATAATTGTTCAAAATGATTTATGATTAAGAAGTTTAACATTTCAAGCAACATTTAGTTATAACTTACAATTAGGATTCGTAAAGCCATTATGGTGGTGATGATGATGTTAATGATGATTTTAACTATTTAGTAAAATTAAGATTAAGATATTCTATTTAAATTGTAAGCCCATATTAGTATTTTTTTTTTCAACGAACAATTTCCTAGCAGTTTTATACCATATGGACACAACCCTTGCAACACTTTAGAAAACAATCGTTACATGACATTACCAAATGCTATTTTTTTTACTCGGTAGCAACTCGAGACTATACAACATGATGCATCACAGTACAATAGAAAATAGGTGTATTTACATACATACCACCCTATTCCTACAAATTTACATATGTAACACCTAAACTTTGCTTTTTACATTTGTAACATCCAAATATTTTATATCACATAAAAAATACCACTATTTAAACTTTTAAAAGTTGAAATACACCTTTTCATTCATATGTTGGGTGGTATAAATATAAAAATTAAAGTTTGGGTGTTAGATAAGTAAAGATATAAGAATTGGGTGGTATGCATGTAAACCTTCATAGAAGATAACAATGCTAAATGGAGCCTTAGACAATTATGGTTGCGAGAAAAGGCTTTTACAAAAGGGATTGTAACTGATCTTTAGTTAATGATCATACGCGTTATTATAAAGCAAATAATTATTTTTCTAAAACTGGTTTCTTTTTATCTAAAAATGGAATAATGATATTATTGCTTTGATACACCATCATCAGATAACATCGATAGAAAGGCTTGCCTATAATACATATTGAAGATTATCATGCTTAATAAAACTAGGAATGATAAGTCTGATACACCAAAAATGCATGATTAAGGTCCATATAGAGCAGGAGGTAGAAATTCAACCCTAAATAGTTGAATTTAAGATGCTTTGTGGCTGATTTTTGTTAAGGTTTCGAGCAATAAATTTCATTAACCATTAATATGTAATTAGTTTTAGAATACGTTGTATGTTTACCCTTGAACGGCACTATATAATGATCCCTTCCTTTTTTTCTTTTTATTTATCTTGTCATATACATATGACGGAGCCTAAAGTCAAAATAACAAAAGCATTGTTGTTATACAATATTCAAATTTTCCATGAGGGATTTTGCCTTCTAAACATTTTGAAATCCTCTCAAGTGCCTTTTATGGAATGTTTTTTTTAATATTATTTTCTTTTTGGAAAAAAATTACTTAAATTTCATTTGTATTTATCAGGAAATACTTTGAAAAAGATTGTTTAAGATAATAAATAGAAATGTTCTAAAATCTACATTTGATGGTGTTGATGCATTGAGTTGTTATCACAATGCCACAAGTCAAGGCATAATTTCATGTTAATCTCAATTGTAGGCCAAAAATGCTCCTAATTACAGTTTTTCTTATAATTTTTTTTACAAGAATCATTACTTCATTAGCTCCTTTTGATAAATTCCAATTATATTCAACTTTGTATTTGCAGCTTGTGTTGGAAGTTAAAGATAAGCTTGAGAAAGAACATCCAAGTTTGCTGGTCGGAAAAAATGGAAGAGATGATGAAGAAATGATTCTTTGGTTTTTGAAGGATAGAAAATTTGTCGTTGAAGATGCTCTTACAAAACTAACGAAAGCTATCGTATCCTACAAATAATTTGTTCTATGACCTTTTTGGTTAATATTTTGTTTTATGTGAAAAAAAAAAAGATAATTTATAGCCGCATTTTCCTATGTTATGGTTTGGTTTAAGGATTTTATGTTTCTCAAATAAATGAACCAAGTATTCTTAACGTGTTCTACTTATAGAATGATATTAGCGTTTTTACATTTTTCTTATTGCAAAATGCATATTAATGAGTTATTGTTAAGCAAAATAGGTTAGTCCCAAAACATGTGATTTTACTGGTTCTTATTGCCTATTTTATTTATTTCTTTCGTCTACTTTTGATTTTAAAAAGAAGGTAGACAAATTCGCATTGTTCAATTTGATAGGCTTGTACAATGGTTAGATTATCTTTAGAGGCATTTACATTGCTACCGCACTATTCTTATGTATTTTCATATCTAACACCTAAACATTGATATTTATGTGCACGCCACTCAAATCTTTAACATCACATCAAAAATACCACAATGACTACCTTTTTAAAAGGGAAATATACGTTTTCATGCATAGGTTTATGACACCAAAGTTTTATAAGTGGAAATATCAAACTTTTAGTGTTAGATATGTAAATAATTGAGAACTGTGGCATATATGTGTAAATTTCCCTTATCTTTATTGCGACCTAGAAATCATGAGTTTGAACATGGTTAATCTTTAAGGCTTCTATTTTAAGAATGATGTTTTTTTAAATCATTTTTTGTTGATCTTTTTTCATTCTTTGAAATTGAAGAATGATGTGCCCCCTTTTTCCATATTATGGCTTTGATTTAAGGCATTTATATACATACCACCCAAATTTTATGTTTTACTTATCTAACACCTAAACTTTACTTTTTACATTTATACCAGTCCGCTCTTTCATATCACTTCAAAAATATCATTGTTTTAATATTTTAAAAGTGAATTACACCTTTTCATGTATTAGAGAAGGTGACATATATGTAAAAATTGAAGTAGGTGTTAGATATGCATATCCTAAGAATTGGGTGGTATGCTTGTAAATTTTACGAAAAAAAAATTAGCTAAGAAAGCTGTTCGCTCATAAAGCAACTAAGAGATGAAGTATTCAGGAAATGATTGGAGAGAGTGATGCTGAAAAATAGTGGCCGAGCGTACAATCCTAAAGAGGTATGAGAAGCTGAAAGTCGAATTATTGAATGAAACCGTACATGCATAAGTTGCTTAACGTGAACATGTGAGTGTATTAGGCAATAGAAAATCTGGGTAGGGATTAATTTTTAGAGTCTTACCCCTACATGGAAAAGAAGCCTTAACAGGGAGCTATGGTGACGAAAAAAATAGGAATAATTAACCACAATGAGAGGGAACCAAGAGACCATAATAGGAGAGGACCCTAAGTTCAGCAGTTAAGAGAGAAGAGAGAGACCAGGAGAGAAACTTTAATTCCAATTCATTCATTAATAACTACATCATTTCCTGAATAGTGCATCTCTTGTTTGCTTTAAGGTTCTTTTTTTAAGTTAATTGAACGGATAACTTACTTCTTTTAAGTTTAGTCATTTAATAGTTGGAGTTGTTTGGGATTACTTTTGATTTTTTCTTTTGATTTTATTTTGTTTATGCTTTTCTTCGAAATAAATTATGTGGTATGTTAGAAAATGTTTAGCTGTTTTTAAAAACACTTGAAACAACTTTTAATGCTTAGTATTTTAAAAAAAAGCTAATTTATATTTTTAAAATAAAAAAAATAAAAAAAATTAAAATATACAAAAAATACTCTAAACAAATACGTTCTTAAAATAAAAGTAAAGTAAAAGGTGATTCCGAACAAGCCCTTAAAATAGAGGCTTCGTTGTCCATTGTTGTGCGGCCGGTCATTTGTTTATCATGTTCGATCCACATTTACCCTATCTCGGCCCTTAATACCTCCGTTTTCACACTGTAACTCCCCGTTTGCTTTTTGCACTTTGGTTATTGTTATTACTGGGACATCCTCATAGCATCGTTCGCTTCGCTCGCTTGCCCACTTTTCATCTCTCTTATCTTGATCCCTCTGCCCTAATTTCTCGAGCAGCTCCTATGTGCAAAGCTGAGGTATCCAATGGGCGGTTCCTTCTATCTTCATTCTTCAATCTTTGTTCTCTCTGCATAAAAGGGAGGTACCTTCAATTGATCTCTTTGTCCTGATTTATGTAGGTTTGTTATTTGCCTATTGTGTGATTGCATAGAGAATATCAAGGAGTTTCACATTTATGCTTTTGTCATCGTTTCTATCAGTGTGTATTTATCCAAATTTTTAGTTTTCTATGGAAATTTTAATATCTCTGCCCAAATATTTTGGAGTCTTTTTGGTGGGTTTTTGATATCTTTGCGTAAAAGAGTTTCAAGTATTATGTGGGGATTTAATTTTTTCTACCTTGCGTCGTTAGAGATTTCGATCTCTTTGCCCTTATTTTTTGAATCTAATCTCTGTGGGGATTTGATTTTTCCTAAGATGTGTATTTAATTGTTGAGTATAACACTGGTAAAATTTGCATACGATGTGTATTTAATTGTTGAGTCACTGGTAAAATTTGCATACCTAGCACACAATTTAGACAGGTTTAGGAAATTTACATACCCTAACTCATGATTCTATAAAGTTTAGGGAAATTTAAATGCCTAGCACACTATTCTTATGTGTTTACATCATGTGTACTTACACATGAATATAGCAGCTGCATGCGTAAATATGGAAGTTTGAGAAGAATAATAGCTTTATTTGTGCATATTTATCTGATGAGTATAGCACTTTGCTGCTTATGTGGTAATAATGTTTATTTTGATGTGGTATTAAAGATTTGATTGGTATGTGTATAGATATGAAAGTTTAGGTGTGAGATGAAAATTCATTAGAATTGTGTGCTATGTATGTTAATGGAGCTTGTTGGATGAATTGACAATGTGGTGTTAGTGTATGGTTATTGGATGAAAGTTTAGCTTTGCTTTGTTTTTATGTGACAATGTTGGAAGAATAAATGAATGAATTTTAGTGCTTGTTCTTGGGTTGGTATGCCAGAGGCAGCGTAGGCATGATTGAGAGCTGAACCAGACCGGTCAGCATTGTTTATGGATTGGTCTAGCAGAGAGGCTGGACCAGCTAGTGCTTCTTATGGCCTGGGGGGTTGTGACCCCCTATCTCCCCTCCTATTTACCTACTACTATAAATATGTCATGTTATGTTCATTAGGTTTTAGTTTTTGTGAGTTTTGGTGTGTGATATTTGTTGTGATAGCCGATGTTTCATTTTCTTTTTCCAGGGTTGTATCCGACGGCAAGAAGGTGCTTCTGTTATAACTTGTTCGAGGTGGTGTTTATCATCCCTTTCCCTGACGCGAGTCTCATATGGGAGCCAGTCAGCCAGTCCCTTGTAGGGGGGCTCCACTACCCCCTTATTCCTCTTCGTTCCTTTCCTTTTCTCCTATCTCCTTCTTGCCTTTTTCTCCTCTCATGCCTTTCCTCCCTTCCTAGACCTTTCCTAATTCCAAAACCTTCCTAAAATAAGAGAATTGATTTTTATTCCTTCTCCTAATTTAAATCCTTTCCTAGAAGTCTAAAATCTGATTTAATTTTCTTTCATTAAATCTGAAATCTGATTTTATTTCTTTCCCCATTTTAAAAGTTTTGCCTAAATTCTAAAATCTGATATTATTTCTTTCCTATTTTAAAGTTTCCTAAAATAGAGTCAACTTCTTTTATAAAGAGGAGTTATTGCGTCTAGCGTAAGAGTCTTGTTTTTGGTATCTGAATTCAGGCTTTATCTTAGAGTTTTTTTTTCCTCGAGTGTTGTATCCAATGTCGAGGAAGTGCTCCGCCCATCCCTCGTCTGAGGTGGCCATTGTCTCCAAGAGTTTGAGTGGTGCTCCAGGTATATCTTGGCCTCGCCGAGATATTTATGTGTTCGTCCGTCTTCCTTGCAACCTTGCAGGCCGCTGTCCAGCCCCCTCCTGCATCTAGCAGGCTGCTGTCCTCTACTTTTTTGCTGCTACCAGCCAACCTCCCAACCCTACAACAATCCGCTGTCATTCCTGCCCTCTGCCCAACAATCACCAGTTGCTTCCTAGCCTGCCAAATCACCTTCAACTCCTCCCTACACCTTTGCAAATGGCTGTCCAGCCCCCTTCTGCAGCCATCAGGCCGCTATCCTCTATTTTCCTGTCGTCCCAACTGCTGTCCGGCTACACCCAGCTATTGGCACACCTTCCCGATTTTCTATCCCACCTTCCAATCAATCTCCACCACCCTTGGGATACACTCTCGAGGTGTCCGTTTTTTTGTTTCGTATTTTGGTGATGTTATTTCCAGTTTGTGTGTGTTGTAACCCTCTTTTCTATTAATAAATGTTACTTTTGTGCTTTGGGCTTTCTCCTCTGATATCTTTCTCTGCTTGTTTTCGCTGTTCTGGCAACCGTCCGGTTGCCAGTTCCCACTCCTACCTGCTCCCAGTCAGGCATTCTAGCACCCCTTTCCTCCCCGCCTTACTGTTACAATGTTCCCTCCCCATCCCATGTCCTTGTCTATCCCCCTACATCTCACGCTACCACTAAATGCATTTACTGCCGCTGTTCTCCCTTCCAGGCCGCCTCCACCATCCACGAACAGTCCACCTCCATCTGCCCTTCTTCCACCTGTCAAGCCCCTTCCCGTGTCTTGCCCTCCTTCTAACAACCAACCCCTCCATGCCCCTAACCTGTTGCCTTAGCCCATTATGCCCTAATTCTGGCCGCAGTAACACGATGTCTCTCCTACATATGTCGTTGTAGCTCCCTCAAGTACAACCAATTGCTGTTGCCGGTCCAAATCAGCCCTCCCACTTGCTGTCCAGTTGTCAACCACCACTCACGTCCTCGCACTAGGGTGTGTGTTTCTTTTTCATTTATTTCCCGTTTTGACGAGTCTTTGTTG